CATCAGGAGTAATTCACTTTTTCCTAGATAGGAAAAAGGCACACAAGCAGACCAAGGTCACCTTGTAAGAGACCATCCAAAGAAAGCTGCAACAAACACTTCCTTGCCTTTCTTTACTAGTGTTTCCCCTATAGTCTTAGAGACCAACAGTTTAAAAATAAAGAATTTGTTTATTTAATGAAAAATATAAATTGGTTGAAAATAAAGATGCAATGAAATATTTCATTCTAAACTTAGATGTAAATTTTATATTTTAATAATTATAAAAAAAAGTATTTCATGATTGTTGCAAGTGTCAAAGGTATTCCTTGATCCACTTTCGAACTGACTTGATGTCCTTGTCAACCTTTTCTTTGGTATCTTTGTCAAAGGATGGAAGAGAGCTGTAAAATTTTAAGAGAATTGATAATCATCCTGCGTCACTTTTCTAAAAGGTGAAAACATGAATTAAACTATAGAACAAAGCTTTTTTTTATAAAAACACCACTTTGAACAACAAAACAAAAGAAAAAGAATGAGAAGAACAATCACGGTTTCCTCATAATATTATGCATGTTTGCACACAACATGACACATGCACTAAAATGTGTAATTGAGACCCACCCCTCGGTTACTGCTAATCCATGAGTATGTTTAGAACAATACCCATACCCTCTAACGGCTTTGGATTTGAAGACGAGGACGAGGACGAGAACGAGATTTTCTGTATACTATATAAGTAGTGCATGCGCGCGAACCAACGTCATTTTGGCGGGAAAATGTGGTAGCCATTGTCAGTCTACTGCGAGTTTTAGCGAGAATGTAGTAGTGGCGAAAACAAGTTATCAAAATGTTAGAAATCTTATCACTTAGCGATCAGGAGATGGCTTAACCTCCTTCAACGGAAATAAGCCTGTTAACCGGCTTTTGTGGTGAAAAAAAAGTACAATGAAGCTTTGAGAGGTGTCTTTTTTAAAGAACAGGAGAGAAAACTTAAAATTAAATGTCGTCCTCATAGTCATTCTAGTCCTCGGATCTATAAAGCTCTCCATCAAAAAAAGCAAGTCTTTTAGCTACACCACCACCACCACAGTGCATTGGCTTACTTAAGGCCTGTTTACATGGAGGTAGGGTACCCCAGGTAGGTGAGGTAACATGTAGCTTTTAACCCCACCTATCATGTAAACATGATCAAATTAAAATGAGAGATTATATGGACAGGCGGGTTACCCCACCTAAGCGGGTTACCTCACCTATCTGGGGTACCCCACCTCCATGTAAGAAGGCCCTAAGTAGTGCATGCGCGCGAACCAACGTCATTTTGGCGGGAAAATGTGGTAGCCGTCGTCAGTCTACTGCGAATTTTTGCGAGAATGAGCGAGAATGTAGTAGCTGCGAAAACAAGTTATTGAAATGTTAGAAATCTTATCACTTAGCGATCGGGAGAGGGCTTAACCTCCTTCAACGGAAATAAACGTGTTAACCGGCTTTTGTGGTGAAAAAAAGTACAATGAAGCTTTCCGAGGTGTCTTTTTTAGAGAACAGGAGAGAAAACTTAAAATTAACACTGAATTAAATGTCGTCCTCGTCCTCAGTGTACACTTGCGACTTGATGCTTGCACAATAAAAAAAACTAAAGAAAAAGTATAGGGTGAATTGTGACAAAAGAGTGGATAAAGTTTATCAGTTTTTTCAATAGTTATTCTAGAATATTCGTAATGTGCACGCAGTGTAATTAAAATATTTCAATAAAACACAAATCAGGTACTTAGAACAAAGCAAAGCGAGTATGCTACATCAGTTTATTCACCACTCTTTTTTAGAGGGGGTGGGGGTACACATTCCCCTAGTTTGAATTTGAAAACCCATTGTTTCACGTATATTGGAGGAAACCATGTCCCTGTTGGTATCTTCCTATTGTATTTGTGCTTGTCTTCATCGCTGTCCCAGTCTCAAATCATGTTTGTGTTGTTTGTCGCCATTTCATCTGTCTTATGTTGCTGTTTCAAGGCCGTGTCGCTTGTCAGAATATTAATTTACCCTAGCAGAGCCTCAAAGTGGAAAAGTGACTACGGTGGAACCCCGATATAATTAACGATCCTCAATATAACAATGTTCCCGGTATAACGATGAATATTCTATGTGTTAATGATATATGAAATAAATCATATGTGAACTGCGGAAATGAAATGAAAATGAAGAAATGATCGTCGCAGTGAACGCAATTTATGTAACAGCGTAAATAAGCCTGAAAAAAATTCAGGACTTCAACGGGGTTTGAACCCGTGACCTCGCGATTACCGGTGCGATGCTCTACCAACTGAGCTATGAAGCCACTGACGTTGGGAGCAGGTCAGTTGAGGGTTCATATGTTTACACCGATATAACGATTTTCGGTAATTTAACGGCCATATCGTTATATCGGGAGTTTCGATATAACTATTCGTCGATTATATCGATATAATTTTTCTGCTCCCTTGGCATATCGTTATACAGTGGAACCCCGCTATAGCGAAGACCCCGTTATAACGAAAAACATCTGAAATAGACTATTACCCATCCTCGGAGACCCAGGGGCAGTTAGTCGGGTCGATAAAATGTTCGTGGTGAAAGTTTACAGTGCGTGGTGAAAGTTTACTGTAAACTTTCACCACGAACATTTTATCGACCCGACTAACTGCCCCTGGGTCTCCGAGGATGACTATTACCCCGCTATAACGAATATCTTTGCTGTTAACCAGATAATTCGTTATAACGGGGTCTTCGCTATAACGAAGACCCCGCTACAACAAACAATTTTTTCAGTACCTTGACACTTTGTTATAGCGGGGTTCCACTGTAGTTAAGACTGAGGTTTAAACAAGGGTGAAAGAATGGATTATCAGTACTGTCTATTTAGCTGGGACAAAACGGGTGTACGTAGTAGAAAGGAGGCCATTTTAGTGAGGGAACATTAGCGGGAGTTCAACTGTGATACAATAATGAGAAAAGCAGCCACATAATTTATTAATTATAGTAGCATGACTTTATGCATTCCTTCCCTCCCCTCCCCCTCTTTTTTTTTTTTGGTTCTCGTTTCATTTCTCGCGCGATCAAAACCGAAAATCCCCTTCCACGGTCTTTTTTTGCTTCGAAACCAAACGGAAACGCTTGCTACGCAGGCTACACTCAGTAGCCTGCGTTTCATCGTTTGATGACGGGGCCTCCGTGGATTTCTCTGGCTTTTGCACAGGTTTCTCCTCCGAAGTTTCGGTACCTTGCGCTATCTGCACAAGTACTACAAGGCAAAGAAAGCTATGGAAAGTAACAAACCTCGTAGTGATTTGGTCATGAAAGAAACTCCGAGAGCCTTAATCAATGATTCTTACACTAAGTACTACCATTTACAGCTATCAGCCGCTGCTCAAACAAAACGATGACAATAATCGGATCCTCTTACCCTTCCCTGACAGGAAATTATATGGAAGGAAACGAAACAAATCCATAACTATACATTATCTCAAGGACACAGCGCTCATTTTAAGTTGTTCAAAATTGCTCTCCTGTGTTATTTAACAAAGAAAATTCTTTATCCGGATTGAAACCACAACTCCCGCCCTACCCCTCTCCCTCTTCAATTACTTGTTCATCCTTTCCCATGAGTCTCCTTGGGCAACGACGTCCGCCGTTTCCGCCCGCTTTCCCTGGGCAGAAATTGACAAAAGTTCTCCCACAGATAGAGGTAAGGAATATTATTGAAGTTTTTTAGTTTGCTCAAGCTTATCTGACCTGGTTTACTTTTAGAAATTCTATTCCTCTGATTATACTTTTAATGTCACAAGCGGCTGCAAAGAACCTGTTTACCTGTGCTCTGAATGAAACACATAACACACAGTGAGGCGACGAATGCTTGTAAAAAAAGTTTAAGCTTAACTGATATTAGAACTATCAGTTCTTTTGGAATTTACAGTTCTTAAATGCAAACTACAGAAATCATACACGATTCACTTAAAAATTTCAAAACGTATGTTCATCGAAAAACGAAGAAATTTTAATTCAAATTAAATCTGGAGGCTTCAAGTTGAGCGCAGAGTCCACTCCAATTGGGCTATTGCAATAAATATCCGTACCCGTAGGAGAAAATCAATATGTGTGTCATGACCTCTCAGCAGTGTGAAACAACAAAACAAAATAAGCAGCAGAAATCACATATTAAATTTGGCCGCAGTCTAAATTTAGAACCCTCCAGAGCATAATATACCCTTAAGAGAAGTTTTTAAGGAGTACTAATTACAGGAACAAGCAGCATTTGGGCAGAAGCAAGAGTACATGTAATGCCTGCCAACTCCTTTTCACTAAAAACAATTTGCAAGAGGGCGGAAAGACAGCAATTTCCTGAGCATGCCTGCAGCTCATGAAACTGCCCCTTTAATCCTAATCACCATATAGTCAGTGCTTAACTCTGGAATCCCTGTTGGTCACTTGTCTAATCAATACTGATGACAATGGTTTACCCTAATCACTATTTCCAGTGCTTGACAATAATCTAATCACTATTTTCAGTATTCAACCTTGACCTGCTCATCTTGACTCGTGACTCATTGACTCTTTCAAATCATAAAACAAGCTGAATGGAATTTACTCCACAGAAAGATATGAGTACATGTTCAGTACTATCTGTAAGAGAATCACCTTTGACTAATCCTTTCTATTATTTTCTTTTTATGTATTGGACAGGAACATGAAAGAGTGACAATATTCCTGGACATAATTCCCACGTCATTGACAATTTCAACGTCATACTCGTACCTGCCATCTCAAATTCAAAGTGACATCTGTAATGAGATTGTAGACATGCTGAACAAATGGCAATAGAGTCCACAATCCAGGATTTAAGTTGGGAGAATCACTGTGAAACGTATTTTTCACCATCACATGGGTGAGGAGGTAATGTTACACTTTGTCTGACCCTGCAGAAGAAGAAATAAAGACAGCTGGGTATACTGACAAGTTGAAAATTTGGCTGCAATTGTTATCTGACCATGGATCCTTTTCACAAAAAGGTCCTTGCAAACAAGACTTCTGAAATAATGAAGAGGATTTCAAATCCATTGGTTTTATCTGCACATCTTAAAACAATATTTAGTTTTGGAGACTTCGAGGAAATCGAGGCAAAAACTTCGCAGCGTGGGGCTACCACTGGAACACAAACCCTGCTCAGTTTACTGGCAAAGAGAGGACCTAAGGCTTTTACCCTGTTTATACATGCCTTACGAGATCCTGACATTAGCTGTGCTGATTTGGCAGATGATTTGGAGCAAGAAGAAAGAAAGCTACGAGGGGAAGCAGGTAAGTTCTTCATCGTTTGGAAAATTACTGCAGTAATTGCCAATGAGCAGCCTCGCGAAGATGCGAGGCTGCGAGGCGGCAGCCTAATAGAGCTGTGCAGGATTGTTCCAGGGGCAGAAAAAATCTCGAATCGATGTAACATAGAGTAATGTAAGGCAACCATGACATGATGCAGAACAGAGAATGCATTGTTTTTGAGAGAACACGCGATACAGATCAGAGAATCCATGAGCCATGTGTGTGTTTGTGAGTCCTCTGCTCATCCCGTCTTCAACCAATCATCGGGTGGATCATTTCCATCCTACGCGATATCTGTCGCATTTGCCTGCTGGAATTTTTTTTTGCATGCCACTAAGAAAAATAATAACGTCGTAAAATTTTTGGTGTCTTTGAAGCAAAATAATTCGGAAGGCTTCATTATATTGGTGCACCATAAATTTTTTTGCTTTAAGGTGATTCCCTAGTAAAAGAACCTAACATAGATTGTAGATGAGACTTGGTACACTGATGTAACAAGTCAAGAAGATGATAAAAAGGTAATAAAAAGTGGGGGTTGCCGTGCTCGTTTTGACGTCACAATGCTGACAAATACGGCTATTTTGGACCCTTTGACAAAAACCCCCCGCTGCCCAAAACTAGACAAAAAGGAAAGTTTTTTTCAATGATGCATGTGGTATCACACAGAATTTGACTGTACTGTATTGTTTATCCACTTACGTACCAGAAAAATGCCTTTTAATGCCCTTGTTTTTACTTTACGCTCCAAAGTAGAATTAAATTGGACACATGCTATTTGACACGTGATAGCTCAATCCGTACAATTTAGTAAAATTGCCGAAAAACTGAACATAGATTTGTGCCAATTTTTTTTCTCACTGAAAGGAAGCACTGCCCTTATTAAAATCATGAAATAAAAAATGGGGGTCACTGTACTCATTTTTGCGGTAGAGCTGCCGAAAGTGTGCGTTTAAATGAAAATCAAAGTGAATAAGCACGAATTAAACATCCACTATCGAGGTTCTCCGTGAGGAAGTCAAACTCAGCAACACGCGTACTGCTTACGTTATGCACATTCTCACCACATTGAGTCTCACCTCGGCAAGAAACAACCGCAAGCAAAAATTGAAATAGTGTTTCTCTTCGGTCAACTTCATTTTAATAATATTACTTCACATGCTCTTTTTTACGGAGGCCATCTTGTTATGCGCAGTAAGAGATGCGCAGTGCAAAACCAGGGAATCACCTTAAAAAGAGACCAAATATAAGTCTGTACGTTGAATATTTGCAGACTTTAATATGATTTGTTGAGGATTTTAAGTTCACTAAATTTTGCGCAAAATTACTTGTACGCAACTTCAGACAAAAGTACGTACTTCAAAATCTCAAAAAATTTGCTATGTAAAGTCAGGATTTCAAATTCTTTATGCAGTAGAACAGTTTAGTTCACTATTTCAAAAGATAAATTAATGCAAAGGGCACACATACATCAAACCCATGATCTGCCTTCCCCGCGCATGTCAAGGGAAAACTGCCGTGCAGTACCCAACCAACAACTCCCACATTTGTTGTGTGGAGCTGGCACTTGAAGGACTCACCTGGGCAGGAAAGGGTCTTTTACACACAGGTTTACCCCATTCACTGACCGACGGCTATGCCATGCTGATGACCCCCAGTAAGGGTGTAACAGCTGTTCATGGCTGCCACTGCCCACGTGATATGGCTGTGCGCATGCGTGAGGTAATGGCGAGGCTGTGGGTTGGTGTATGTATGCCCCTTGCTTTAATTTACTGGCAACTCTTTATCCATCTAACCCGTGCATGTCGTGGTAGAACTGCTGTGTGGTTCCCACGTGTCTTGTGTGGAGCTGGCGCTTGATAGACTGCTTTAATGCACTCACCTCAGCAGTAAGGGGTTTTTGAGACACGGGTTTTCCCCATTCATTAACCCAACGCCTTTGCCATGCTGGTAAGGCCCAATAAGGGCGAAAGAGCTGTCTGTGGCTGCCACTGCCCTTGTGATATGGCTGTGCGCATTCGTGAGGTACTGGCCTGGCCGCGGGCTGGTGTATGTGTGCCCCTTGCTTTAAGTTTTTATTATTTTCAAGATAATTTTCACTAATGCAATTGAGTTAAGTTCAATCTATTTTTCATCAATTTCATCAATTTTTCATCAATCAATCATCAACTATACAAATTCAACAGCGCACGTATTGGTAGAATCTTTTAGCTATAACTATATAGTTGAAATAAGATTATGAGCCACTGCATGGTAGTGCTGCTAAATGCTCATCTTGAGGTTAATAGATTGAATAGGAATTAGAATAGGCCCTACATGTATTTCAATTTGGAATGGCTCTGCCATTCCTTTCCTCTGATTCACATCGGCTGGTATGTCAGCTTGTATCTTCAATCAGTAACTGATTGAAACAACTGTTGTTTTCATTATAAAAAATGTAGTACAAAAGAGGGTTGTTTCTCCGACAATTTTTTGGGTGTTTTTAGTTCGTGCTTTGTAAAGTTGATACAGCCGCACGTGCGAAAGTAACCTGAGATCAGGCCCAGTTATAGCAAGTTTCATTCTCTCCTTTTACGTGCCGCATGTCAGAACATTAAATTACTTACCAAGCAAAATGAAAATAGAGCCTGATCTCAGGTTACAAGAAAACTTAGTTGAGGTCAATGATAATAAAGAAGGGGGCGAGGAGAAGAAGGCAGAAAACCTTGGTTTCGCCCAGCTGTATATCTCACTTTACAAACTACAAACAAAAAACACTGCAAAAAACAACCTGCACTTTTAGTATAATAATGAAAATGAGTAACGAAAAATATCATCTAGCTACAATATCCTGGACAAAAGTCCTTGGGACAGTACTGTGATATTCATTATTTTTTCTGTCATTTCTCCAATCAGTTCCTTCTTCAAACAGTGCATCCTTTTCGAAATTTTCTTGCAGTTCTCCCTCCCCCCAGTACATTCAGATTCCAAGCGTGCCATATGCATGCCCTCATGCATTTTTCGGTTATTGATGTCATTACATCAGTGTAAATATATAATTAATTTTTTTTGAAAGGTTGTAAGTCCCATGATGGGGCCACCAAGTTCATGCAAAATTCCTCCTTGTTCTCAAGGTTCTCCTGCTCTTTCCCTCCCCCCTTAATTCCTCCCCTCCCAAAATCTGTGAGATTTGCCAGAGTGGTGACAGCATCGCACATGTCCTTTCTGATAATTTTTGGAATTTGCGGATTATGTACAGGCAAAAATTAGAAAGAATAAGGTATTGCTATGTGTTGTATTTATTAAAACATCTATTTGGTCTAATAAGAGCTGAGTATATATACCATTTTTATTGTACATTTATGCAGAGTTTTAACAACATATTAAATGAAAAAAGAAATTGTGAAAAATTTGTTGAGACAAGCAAGTTTAATTTTTTAAAAAGTATTACCCAAAAATGCATGTACATGTAAGTATTATTAGATGATTGTTCTACAAATGATGACTTTCTTGAAAATATTTTATTCTTTGAGGTCAAAATTTTTTGACAAAAAATTAGTATATATTTCACCATTGGTTGTGCTTTGCAAACTATTAGTACATCATACGTCGTACATGTACACTGTTACATACTTCTCTAGGGCTCCTCTGTTAACTGCTCGTGTAAAATTTTAATACAAGTTTGATTTAAATGGATTAAACAGGGGCTATAACAAGAGAAGCGACCAGTGCTCCAGCATCACCTAACCAATGGGACATTGATTCTGCAGGAACTTTTAACTGTGAACGAAAGAAAGTCACCCTGGGTAAGCCTATTAATTATATTTAGAAATCTATAATGCTCTTTCTTTACCCTGAATGTACTACAAATTAATGTTACTGGGAAATGGAAGTTTTGTCTTCCAATCAGATGCTTAGGTGCGTCGTGATCTGGTTTGCAATGTGGAGGTCAGGTCCAAAACCCTTGACCAAAAAGCATGTCTAGTGCAGGTGCCTTCCAATATGGGACATTTTTGATCACGACGTCACTTACTCTATAAGGTTATGGGCATAACAGATATTGTAGTGCAATGTTGCTTTCCTCTTTTTGTCAAATCATTTAGGACCAATCTGCTTGCGACTCTTCATGTCAACATTCTTCCAAATTACTTTCAGTTTAACGGAGCTTCCTAGGTTCAAGTTTGGTCAGTCGCTCAGCATACATATAAGGTGTCATCCTTAATTGGTGTACTGCCCCTTGTTGGTAATGGTTGAACTAGCCAAAGTGATAGCACCATTTCCTGGCTTCTACATAAAGCCCAGTTTGCATCCATAATGCCACCTTGACACAGCACCAAGCTTGTGTGCTGCTCTTGTTGTGGTCAGTGTTTCTAGCCATTTATGGCCATGGGTGGGGCTGTCAGACTCCGTATGGTATCGGCATTATCATATCTCTCCCTTTGGGCCTTTCCCCAGTCTGTTTTCTTGTTTATCTCTTACAGCAGCATGTGTAATTGGAGTATCAAAGTGCCTTTTTGTCATCTGGGCTGAGCAGCTTTATGTGATAATTTAAGTATGGAACATAAGGCTGATGAAGAGCCTCTACATTGTAGTTTAGTGTGTGGAGCTTTATCATAGTTCTTCTTCTACATTGTAATTGTTGTTGTTGCAGGGTTTATGGTGTAAAAACCACTATTTTTATAACAACTATTGTATCATTAAACATGCAACCATCATCTTTAATAGCAAATCATTGCTCTGTCATTCATTCAAATCGTTATTTATTTATTTTTTATTTTATCTCATCTCAAGAAATTGGCAATCAAGTGACCACGGCATTGCTGTTTTTTGCGTAAATAATTGCATACCCATGTTCGTTGTTTATTAAAGCTGTGCCCAGTTTGAAGCCTATGGTGTGCATCACTGATTGAAGAAAAGAAACAGTTGCACATTATATATAGTTGAACGTCGATATAATGAACCTCTATATAATAAGTCCTCGGGACAATATTCTTTGTGTCAGCAATAGTAAAATGGAAAAGAACCTCGACAACCTGTTTTTGTCAAGTTGAGAACACTACTTGTTTTTTTTTTAACTTTTATGTATTTTTTGGGTATTAAAACTGAAAAAGCACTTTATCAGGCTAGTTTTAGTAATTGGTTTGTTTGATTAAATTTAGGTTCTCTTGTTAAGGACATGCCTTTGGCAGTACGCACAAAGGTTGAACGGATGATGAACGTCAACAACCATAATGACAATAACTGGAGGGGTTTGGCTGTGGCCATGGGATTGACAGCTGATGACGTTCGACAAATGGAGGAAGGAGAAAAAGGGAAAATGACAGGACTCTTTGATAACATGATACATACGGAAAGAAGAATCAAAGATCTTCTTGATTTTCTTAAACACCCTGCTGTACAAAGACTGGATGTTTTAGATGAAATTGTAGAAGGTTGTGGTCTTCCAACAGAAGAAAGTGTCAGCTCTAAAGTCACCCTAGGTAAGCCCATTAATTATATTTAGAAATCATTCTTTGCTCTTTCTATATCCTGAATGCACTATAAATTATTTAAGTCACTGGGAAATGGAAGTTTTATCTTCCAATAGGATGTCTTAGATGTGACTGTAGCTGGTTTGCAATGCAGAGGTCAGGTCCAAACCTCTTTTACAAAATCGAGTCTAGTCTACAATCTTGGACAAAACTGTTGAGAAAATTGTATACTTGGACAGCATTTTTTCTAAACATCGTAGCTGTACCGGTTCTTCCCTCTCCCCCTTCCCCTGAAAGCAATGTTGTTGTGTATTCAAAAGAAAACCTGATCCCTGGGCGTTTGTGGGAAGCAACATTGAATTGGGGGTTTTCTTTCCGCAAAGGCGTCGTTTTGGAAATAGTTTTGTTGCTTAGGAAAGTAGACATGATGGGGAAAACTTTCTCAAGTAGTTTTGTCCGGGATTGTATTTGACTGGGAAAGGCGATTTGCAGCCTTTAACGCGGCCAAATAAGCCTGTTCTTTATAAATGTAGTACATTTCAAAGAAAAGTAGATAATTAATGCAAAATGAGTGAAAACAGAGGCGTTTATGACAAGAAAAGCAATTGGTATGTCTTACTTGATTGGAGTGGTCAGTCAAGAACGTTTGTGAAATTCATTGTCCATTCATGGTTTTTACGCGCTCTTTGAGTGAAGAGCAGCAGGCATACATTGCGCTTTTCGAAGACGAAAAGGACGTTTCCGTCAAGCAGATTAGCCAGAAAACGGGAATTTCACCCACTACGACTCGATCAACAAATAAGACATGAAACTTTTGCTGAATTTTCAGAGCGCGTGACCCGACAACTTTGAACAATTTTCCCATCGCCGAAATAGTCAATGGGCAAGCACTTGCAATGAATAAAAGCATCAAATGGAGAGAGGATTAAATATTTACAAAAGCTGCATTTTTACTTTTCACATTTGAATGCTTACTTTTGAAATTGTAGCGATATCCAGTCCAAAGAAACACACTATGGAATCTAGAAATGTCACGCGCGATAACGTGACAAGATGTACTATCGCGTGACCTGTAAAAGGGCATGTTTTGTCCTCGGGTTACGTATGACTGAAAAAATTATGACCTAAATTGATAATTTGTAAACCAAGGCATGATAAAAGTTGCCATAGTTGACTTCTAATCTTTTTCTCTCCACAATATCTGCAAGTCGGAACGATTAACAGGACATTTTTGAGCGGCTGCGAAGACTAGCAACGGTTAACAACGATTAACAGGGAAGTTTAATAAGAGGCAGAAGGTCATTCTCTATTAAAAACGAAATGGTGTTCATCGTTTCAATGCTTTGTTAATCGTAATATTATTCGATCCATGGAATTGTCATAAAAAGGAAACCGACTTTTAACAAACAAAGTTTCTGTAACACCCATAGTTTAACCAATTATAAGCTCTGAGAAGCAATTTCCACGTGACGGGAAACGGTTCCATATGTCCCTAAATAAACACTACGAACTCCTTTTCTTGGAAGAGAACTGTCATACAAGTCTTGTTCAGACTCTGCTGAAAAAGATAAATTGCTTTTCACATTTTCCGAGCCTTCCATTCCGGAACTACCTGAAAATATGTAACGATTAGCACGCGTTGTACGGCTATTACGAAATCTGACTGTTTTAAAGAGGGTGCTGCAAAAAACGTATATGAGGTCGTGCTTTTCTATGAGAAGATGGTCTGGCGTGAAACTTTGTGCTCAAAACAGCTTCTGTAAAGTGCTTTTTATTAGCATGTTTTTGTTTTGTCCTTGCAAATATTCTTGCGAGAAAACGCGAATAACCTTGTACACAATCTTGGACAAAACTGTTGAGAAAATTGTATACTTGGACAGCTTTTTTCTAAACATCGTAGCTGTACCGGTTCTTCCCACTCCCCCTTCCCCTGAAAGCAATGTTGTTGTGTATTCAAAAGAAAACCTGATCCCTGGGCGTTTGTGGGAAGCAACATTGAATTGGGGGAAGGGGTTTTCTTTTCGCAAAGGTGTCGTTTTGGAAATAGTTTTGTTGCTTAGGAAAGTGGACATGATGGGAAAAACTTTCTCAAGTAGTTTTGTCCGGGATTGTAGGTGCCTTCCGGTTTGGGACTTTCATCTTCCAATCAGATGTGTAGACGTGAACGGAGCTGGTTTGCAATGCGGAGATCAGATCAAAAACCTTGATCAAAACCCATGTCTACTCCAGGTGCATGCGAACATATTATTTTACCAGCCCGCTGGTGCTCCATTATATCAAGGTTGCACTGTAACGTTTTTGTCAAGTTGAGAACGCTAGTCGTGGTATTTAGTTTTTATGTATTTTTTGGATAGTAAGACTGAAAAAGCACTTTATCAGGCTAGTTTTAGTAACTGGTTTGTTTAATTAAATTTAGGTTCTCTTGTTAAGGACATGCCTTTTGCACTGCGCACAAAGATTGAACGGATGATGAACGTCAATAACCATAATGACCATAACTGGAGGGGTCTGGCTGGAGCCATGAATTTGTCAGTTGATGAGGTTCGACAAATGGAGGAAGGAGAAAATGGGAAAATGACAGGACTCTTTAACAACATGATAATAACCAAAAAAACCATTAAAGATTTTCTTGACTTGCTGAAACATCCTGCTGTTCAGAGACTGGATGTCATAGATGAAATTGTACAAAATTGTGGTCTTCCAGCAGAATTGTCAGAAAGTGTCAGCTCTAAAGTCACCCTAGGTAAGCCCATTAATTATATTTAGAAATCATTATTTGCTCCTTCTATATCCTGAATGCACTATAAACTTAAGTCACTGGGAAATGGAAGTTTTGTCTTCCAATAAGATGTCTTAGATGTGACTGTAGCTGGTTTGCAATGCAGAGGTCAGGTCCAAACCTCTTTTACAAAATCGAGTCTAGTCTAGGTGCCTTCCAGTTTGGGACTTTCATCTTCCAATCAGATGTTTAGGTGTGAATGGAGCTGGTTTGCAATGCTGAGATCAGGTCCAAAACCTTGATCAAAACGCATGTCTAGTCCAGGTGCCTTCCAATTTGGGACTTTTTTTATGATGATATCACCGATTCTATAAGGTTATGGCCTTATGGGCATAACAGATTGTACTGCAATGTTGATTTCCTCTTTTTGTCAACTTATTTAGGACCAATCTGCTTGCGACTCTTCATATCAAACATTCTTCCAAATTACTTCTGTTTAAGGGAGCTTCCTAGGTTCAAGTTTGGTCAGTCGCTCAGCATACATGTAAGGTGTCATCCTTAATTGGTGTACTGCCCCTTGTTGGTAATGGTTGAACTAGCCAAAGCGATCGCACCATCTCCTGGCTTCTACATAAAGCCTAGATTGCATCCATAATGCCACTTTGACACAGCACCAAGCTTGTGTGCTGCGCTTGTTGTGGTCAGTGTTTCTAGTCATTTTTGGCCATGGGTGGGGCTGTCAGACTCCATGGTATCGGTATTATCACACCTCTCCCTTTGGGTCTTTTCCCAGTGTTTACTTGTTTATCTCTTACAGTAGCATGTGTAATTGGAGTATCAAAGTGCCTTTTTGTCATCTGGGCTGAGCAGCCTTATGCGATAATTTAAGTATGGAACACAAGGCTGAAGCGCCTCTAGTTTAGTGTGTGGACCTTATAAATTGAGCTTTATCATATTTCTTCTTCCACATTGTACTTGTTGTTGTTGTTGTTGCAGGGTTTATGATGTAAAAACTACTATTTTTATAACAACTGTTGTATTATTAACCAACGATCATCTTTAATAGCAAATCATTGCTCTGTCATTCTTAATCTCATCTCAAGAAATTTGCAATCAAGTGACCACGGCATTGCTGTTTTTTGCGTAAATAATTGCATACCCATGTTCTTTGTTTATTAAAGTTTTGCCCAGATTAAAGCCTATGGTGTGCATCACTGATTGAAGAAAAGAAACGGTTGCACATTATAGTGGAACCTCGATATAACAAACCTCGAGCCTGTATAATAAGTCCTCGGAACAATATTCTTTATCTCAGCAACAGTACAATGGAAAAGAACCTCAATAACCTTGTTATAGCGAACATATTTTTTTACCAGCCCGCTGGTGCTCCATTATATCAAGGTTCCACTGTAACGTTTTTGTCAAGTTGAGAACGCTAGTCGTGGTACTTATTTTTTATGTATTTTTTGGATATTAAAACTGAAAAAGCACTTTGTCAGGCTAGTTTTAGTAACTGGTTTGTTTAATTAAATTTAGGTTCTCTTGTTAAGGATATGCCTTTTGCACTGCGCACAAAGATTGAACGGATGATGAACGTCAATAACCATAATGACTATAACTGGAGGGGTCTGGCTGCAGCCATGAATTTGTCAGTTGATGAGGTTCGACAAATGGAGGAAGGAGAAAATGGGAAAATGACAGGACTCTTTAACAACATGATAATAACCAAAAAAACCATTAAAGATTTTCTTGACTTGCTGAAACATCCTGCTGTTCAGAGACTGGATGTCATAGATGAAATTGTACAAAATTGTGGTCTTCCAGCGGAATTGTCAGAAAGTGTCAGCTCTAAAGTCACCCTAGGTAAGCCCATTAATTATATTTAGAAATCATTATTTGCTCCTTCTATATCCTGAATGCACTATAAACTTAAGTCACTGGGAAATGGAAGTTTTGTCTTCCAATAAGATGTCTTAGATGTGACTGTAGCTGGTTTGCAATGCAGAGGTCAGGTCCAAACCTCTTTTACAAAATCGAGTCTAGTCTAGGTGCCTTCCAGTTTGGGACTTTCATCTTTCAATCAGATGTTTAGGTGTGAATGGGGCTGGTTTGCAATGCTGAGATCAGGTCCAAAACCTTGATCAAAACGCATGTCTAGTCCAGGCGCCTTCCAATTTGGGACTTTTTTTATGATGATAGCACCGATTCTATAAGGTTATGGCCTTATGGGCATAACAGATTGTACTGCAATGTTGATTTCCTCTTTTTGTCAACTTATTTAGGACCAATCTGCATGCGACTCTTCATATCAAACATTCTTCCAAATTACTTCTGTTTAAGGGAGCTTCCTAGGTTCAAGTTTGGTCAGTCGCTCAGCATACATGTAAGGTGTCATCCTTAATTGGTGTACTGCCCCTTGTTGGTAATGGTTGAACTAGCCAAAGCGATCGCACCATCTCCTGGCTTCTACATAAAGCCTAGATTGCATCCATAATGCCACTTTGACACAGCACCAAGCTTGTGTGCTGCGCTTGTTGTGGTCAGTGTTTCTAGTCATTTTTGGCCATGGGTGGGGCTGTCAGACTCCATGGTATCGGTATTATCACACCTCTCCCTTTGGGTCTTTTCCCAGTGTTTACTTGTTTATCTCTTACAGTAGCATGTGTAATTGGAGTATCAAAGTGCCTTTTTGTCATCTGGGCTGAGCAGCCTTATACGATAATTTAAGTATGGAACACAAGGCTGAAGCGCCTCTAGTTTAGTGTGTGGACCTTATAAATTGAGCTTTATCATATTTCTTCTTCCACATTGTACTTGTTGTTGTTGTTGTTGCAGGGTTTATGATGTAAAAACTACTATTTTTATAACAACTGTTGTATTATTAACCAACGATCATCTTTAATAGCAAATCATTGCTCTGTCATTCTTAATCTCATCTCAAGAAATTTGCAATCAAGTGACCACGGCATTGCTGTTTTTTGCGTAAATAATTGCATACCCATGTTCTTTGTTTATTAAAGTTTTGCCCAGATTAAAGCCTATGGTGTGCATCACTGATTGAAGAAAAGAAACGGTTGCACATTATAGTGGAACCTCGATATAACAAACCTCGAGCCTGTATAATAAGTCCTCGGAACAATATTCTTTATCTCAGCAACAGTACAATGGAAAAGAACCTCAATAACCTTGTTATAGCGAACATATTTTTTTACCAGCCCGCTGGTGCTCCATTATATCAAGGTTCCACTGTAACGTTTTTGTCAAGTTGAGAACGCTAGTCGTGGTACTTATTTTTTATGTATTTTTTGGATATTAAAACTGAAAAAGCACTTTGTCAGGCTAGTTTTAGTAACTGGTTTGTTTAATTAAATTTAGGTTCTCTTGTTAAGGACATGCCTTTTGCACTGCGCACAAAGATTGAACGGATGATGAACGTCAATAACCATAATGACCATAACTGGAGGGGTCTGGCTGCAGCCATGAATTTGTCAGTTGATGAGGTTCGACAAATGGAGGAAGGAGAAAATGGGAAAATGACGGGACTCTTTGATGACATGATAATAACCAAAAAAACCATTAAAGATTTTCTTGACTTTCTGAAAAATCCTGCTGTTCAGAGACTGGATGTCATAGATGAAATTGTAGAGGGCTGTGGTCTTCCAAAAGAAGTGTCAGAAAATGAAAGGTCAGAACTCGATGAAACAGGTTGGTTGTTTTGTTTGCTTGCTTTTTTGTAATGCTTTAATGCAGTCTATGATTGAGGTGCCTTTTTGTTCCAGAACCAAAATATTCTTTTGCTAAGAAATATTATGTCAAATATGGCATTTTTTTTTCATTCAAAGCACAAGTTGTATTTAGTAGCCAGTCATAGTGCAGAAAATACTCATATGCCTCGTTTCAAAACATATTTTGCATCAAACGAGAAAAGTTAAAATCGGAATTAAAACGCGTGAAAGTAGTTTTCGCTAGGAGCAAAATTCACACAAACAGTTTATGCAAACAACAGTAGCAATCAGTATGGCAAGCAAATAGCAACGAGATTGGTCTCAGTACTTTTGATTTTAAATTATGGTAGCATTGATTCTGGGTCAAGTGCCACTTAAACAAAATCCTCTTTCAGCTCTATTTGTCCTAATTAGAACCTTCCAAATAACCAGACCGTAGGTGTTGGATTTTCATTAAACTGAAACGCGGTTTCACGGTCGATTGCATTCGGCAAATACCAGTCACAAACGTGCGATGTGCGCCAAAATATCACACTTGTGACTAATACTTAACATAAGTTGGCTATATATCGAAACTGAGTGTGGCGAGATCTAGGAGACCAAGCCGACAGGAAAGTTAAGAACCACGACGAAGTTCACGTCGACGACGTCTGTTGACTGGGAAAAGACTGGAAGGAGAACATCAGTTTCGGCGGGAAAAAGGAAACTTTAGATATAGTCGGTCGGTAGGTCGACGACGACTACACTGAATGTAAACACAAATGTAAAATTGTGATGTTCGTTCGCAACAAAGTTTTCGCAATGGCGTCTTTTAAAATGATGCAAGATCTTATGTTTTAAGCTAGACTGTTTACAGTCCCCTATTTTTTCGTGAGATCGTTTAGATATACCGCGTCTTACCGTCACGGGTATCTTGATTTTCAAATGTACCGAGGGGGCGGGCGTCGGGGATTATAGCTAGTTTAGTTTAAGTTGCCGACATTGACAAGTCGTTGACAAGTCGACTTTTCCATAAAACGTACGCTTTCATACCATAAGGCACATCTTGCGCAAACACACGAAGGATTTTTGGTATTTTAATTAGGAAAATGTTTTCTTGTGCTTGTTTGCCGATTTTATTTCGAGGAAAATATATGATTTGCCTTACCTAAATACGTACAAATAAATTTATCACTTACGAGTTCGCTCGCTCGGCCTTCACAGTTGTTGTCATTCTTCGAAGTAAAAACAATTCATTAGTCGAATTTTCAATCCGCATCGCTTGTTAGGAGAAAAAAGGAGCGATACCTGGATTTACGAGGATAAGAAAATTCAAAGGACTTCAAAAATCGCTTAAAACAGTGGATTTGTACCTGCCGAAGCTTGTGGATTGCAGGACGACGTGATTGTACTTTGTTTGGCGTCGTCGACGACACCACGACGACGAAATTTACTGGTCGCAGTTGCCCAGTACACCGTAACTTACTTCGGGTCGTCGTCGACAAAGTCGTCATCGTGGTTCTTAAGTTCCCTCATGTTAATTTTTTTGGAACAAATCGCTGCTTTATGCTCTCGGAATGAATTTTACCATCACGTAAAATTTTTCATTATTCGACCGTTTGCTGATCCTTTTAGAACCCTTCCCTATATATAAAAATATATATACCAGGTCGCATATATACTAAGTCCAAAGGCAACGTTTGCGGCTTTATTTACTCGAGGCTTGTTTGAAGTTTGAAAAACAGTTTAATTCCTAATTTATGCAGGGCAGTGGCGTGACTCAACCTATCAAGTTTTTAACCTATGAAACTCCGTTACTTGTCATCAGTAGCCAATCACCAAGTGAGAAAAGTTACGTGACAATAACATAGTGCCAGTTTAAAAAGTCATGAATTTTCTTGTGTTTTCTTCATTTCCACCGACAAGATTTGACTTTTGGCGGCTATTAAAGATAAAGATACAGATACAGATTTTAAAAAAATTGTTATTAACAGGTACGACCCCATTTTTGGAGTGGTGTCGAAAACAGTTGTGTTCACTCTACATCAGGAGGGCTTGGGACCGAGTTAATAGCATGGACGTTGATGAGATGCCTGTACTGTTAACAAGAGTAGGTGACAGAAAACTTGCTGAAACAAAGGAGCTTGAGGATTACAGCGAGATATTCGCAAGCTCTGATCATCATCTGATCCCTAAAAGAATTGTAGTATACGGAATGCCGGGAACAGGAAAGTCTGCTTTCACTAAAAAGCTTGCCGCAGACTGGGCAAGAACCAAGCATCAGAAGCATGAAGTCTTAAAGAAATTTGCAGTCGTACTGTTAATCAAGCAGAGAGATGTCTGCAACACTGAATACGTTAGTACCATGCTAAAAGAGGCTGACTTGTTGTATAGCGATGACCCTGTCATATTTGATCAGTTGTATGATTACATTCTTCAGAACCAGGAGAAGGTACTGCTCGTTTTGGACGGCTATGATGAGTACAGTAATAGAAAACCATGGCTTTTCAAACGGATTTGGGAAGGCTACCATTTGGAAGGTTGTACTGTCCTCGTAACATCAAGATTAACGAAGATAGATGAGTTGAGACCAGGAAGTCATGTTCAGTTTAGAATTGATTTGCTTAATTCTGAGCAAATTGGTAAAGTTGCTCTTAACTTATTAGGGAACCAGACAGACGTAAAAAAGTTCGCTGATTTCATGTCTGAGTACCGCCTCTGGAGCATGGCGAAAATACCACCTCTCTTAGTCAGTTTGGTTCTAAGCTGGAAGAAGGTTTATCATCAAGGACTATCAACATCCCGCGCAAATGTGTATCTCAGTTTTTTTCAGACGCTGCTTGGACAGCTCACCGTCGAGACCTCTACTGAGACATTTTTAGTAAACATGGATGAAAATATGAACGATCTTGTAAAATTGGGGGAGCTTGCGTGGGACCCACTTTTAAATGACTTCTCTTATTTCGAACTCAGCTACTTATCTGCGAACATTCGGTTACTTTTGGAGAAGTTTTTCGATTTTGGTTTTCTACATGTACAAACTTCTCCTTTTTCTGAGGAACTGGCTTCGTTTGTACATAAGTCGATTCAGGAATTTTTTTCTGCCTTGTTCGTTGTTTCGAATTTGAAGAATGCAAAGGAAACGCCCAATAGCTGTCTAACAAAAGTCGGCTCATTTGAAAAAGTCAAGGAAATGGATGTTGTTCTGAAATTTGTCTGCAAGATTTCTTCAGAAGCTGCCAATGCTGTAGTTAGTCATGTGCAGATGATAGGAGAGAAAGAAGGCCTGAAAAGGACGACCACCTCTGAAGAGTTGTCTGTGGAACAGAGAGAATTTGAGTTATATTTAAAGTCCTATTCATCAATGGTAAGAGAAAAACAATATCTTAATTCCAATTTCTTCTTGTTGCGAGAGAAAGGTAAAGAAAGCCATTGATGCTTGTGATATGGTTAACTGAATAATCAACAAAGCTGTTTTTAGGTTTGTATCTTCCAGATCTTTAATACAGTGTGACTACCATAACCGGGGCCACCTGGACCAAGTTGACCAATTGGGTGACAGGAAAATAACAATTCATACCGAGAAAGTTAGTTGTCAATCTTAATTACCACAAAACGAAATCAACCAGTTACAACCTACAGACACGACCTTTTGAACCCGCTGAAGAAAGCCTTTGTTTCCTGAGAGGTCCGTTAGATTGTTGACGAAGGCTAAAAATGTAAACGTTAGTTATATTTTTGACATAAGGTCCGATGTCTTTGCAAAGCGTGGCAGTGGTAGCTGGAATTGCCGGTAGATGACCAAATAACCCCTCGTGTCAAACAAATATATCTCCAGGGTGTTATATGTAAAGTTTCGAGTAGAGCAACATTTTCTGGTGAAGCATTTTGCTTTCTTGAAAAACTTTTGCTATCAATATTTAAATTTTGTGCTTCGAGTAACTTATTGATTATTTACGAGCTGATTGGTCCACAACCAACTTTACTGGAATGTATTGTTATTTTCCTGTAACCAAGAAGAAAAAGCAACATAAGCTACGAATGAATATGCGAAATGTGTATATTTTGGTTTCAAACACAAACGTTTCTTGAATAGAATACACTCCTTAGGATAGCAAAATTATAAGAATTTAAAACTGAAGCCAATGAATTTTTTTTTCATTTTAATTACTTGGAAAATAAACCGGCGTAAGCAGACACTACACACGTACAAAAAACATGACAAGTAAGGGTTTAAAAACAGTCTACGAATAATTTGGATCGATGAGAAACATGGAATGATAGGTAACTAATGGCTCAAAATTAATACGGCGCCACCAACACAGGTTCAGTTAGAATGTCATACATGAACGGTATCTGTTGCGTACCTTTTTTTTTTTTTCGAAAAACCGCTTGCCAAAAATACTTTTTTTCTCAAATCCTTTCCCAAAAAAACGCTCAGATTGTGAATCTCCAAAATGCGGATTTAGATTTGATCCGAAAAATCCACCCTGAATGTGGATTTTATGGATTGGTGATCCGTTTTTGGTTTTGCCCAAAAAACGCAAAATCCGTTTTTAAATTCGGAAATCCAGATTTGGATTTTCCCAAAAAAACGCACACAAAATCCGGATATTTTTGAAACCCCGTGTTTTGTTTTGAAGGAATCGGCCTTCTGTCCACACGAAACCAGCGAATCCGCTCACAGTCACAGTTTTGAAACAGCTCTCCAGAGAGGTTTAAGACTCTGTTCACACGAATGAAAAATATCACCCTCTCCAGTGCGGTTTTAAATATTTCCGGATTCGTGTAGAAGGGATCTCAATCATTAACTGCCAAATAACATGACCAAAATTAGTTTAGGGGACGTGATGAGGAACTAGCGCTTATAGCTCAAAATTTATTGTAGAATATTGAAAGGGCTAAGTCACGCAATTGTAAGAAAATTGTCTGTTGTATCAAAAAAAAGCTTACTAACTGCTACTGTAGAATAACACCAGTGAAATACAGGAAACTAATTAGGTGTCGAGTAACGTTTTACCGAAATGGCCGTATTGAAGTTAAATTGAAAAACGGCGGCCGACTATTTTACCAATGTAATTTTAACTCAGTTTGTGCGAAAGTGTAATTTGTAATGTTAGGTTACAAACTGTTACACTACAGTGCCTTTGATTAACAAAATTTGGGACAAAAAAAAGTTAGTCGCTAACCAGGTTTATATACTAAAGTAACCGAAACTATACTACCTTAAGTGTTCATGTAGAATGTAGAGATCGCAGCAGACAGGTCTCGTTCCATAATACAGAGGGGCCTTATAGATTTTTCTTACACGTAACCAGTGTCATAACTGTTGTATCTCAGGCGGTGGATCCAAGTGAAGTGGGAAAAGATGCAAGTAAGTTTAAATTAATGCAAACTCAGATTTTCGTAGCCATCAACAAACTGAATGCCACGCAATAATATTACCGTGAATATTACCGTAAATGATGCCTTTGCCTTTCTAAGAAATTTAATGATGCAAATTCCTCTAAAACCAGTAGTGGCTATACCACAGGAAGCTCAAACTCGCATTTGCACGTTCAGCATACATTATCGCATTCATTATTTTATTTTTTTTTTTTTCATGTACCGTGCTCTCCCTCTCTCTAATTAATAACCGTCCCTTTTCAGTTAAGCCCCCCTTCCCCTTCCCCCTTATTCTTAAATGACAGACTGTATTAATCAATCACGACTGTATATTCACGTGCCAGAAGTTAGGATTTGTATTTAATCTTCGGCAGGAGCTCATTTGCTGCATGACCTCCAACTTTATGTGCCTGAGCTTTTTCGACATTGCAGTCTAATTTTGTATGGAGAATTGAAATGATACCACCATGTTTGCTAAGTCCCCCCGTCTCTAGTCCCTCCCCCCTCACACAAACTTGGTTGATATGAATAAGCCCCCCCCCGAAAGCTTAACAGAGGATTTACGGAAGGTATATATTACATTCCTCTGTTTTTTTTGTCACAATAGTCAGTTTGAATACAAACAAATACGATTTCGCAAAGTGCTCTAGATTTATAAAGAAGGATGAAAATGATGTGTATCAATTCCTTGATGCAGTTGTTTCAGGTCGATATTATTATTATTATTATTATTATTATTATTATTATTATTATTATTATTATTATTATTATTATTATCATTATTATTAACCAGTCCGGAATATCCCTAAATTTAAGGACAGGGCCAACTGGTCACGCGACACTTTTCAACCAATGAGAGGGCGCGCTTGTGTTTATCAACAAACAAATTAAAACATGATTCGTTCCTTGCAATGATTAATGCCCTTATTCTCTTACATGAAATGTTTTCTTTGAAATATTAAATGTGAAACCTAGACGAGTACTATAAGCTCATCTTTAATTCTGTCCGACTCCGTCCGTTGTTTTGAAAATTTTTGATCACTGGGGCGATGATTTGATTTGTTTGTTGATAAACACAAGCACGCCCTCTCATTGGTTGAAAAGTGTCGCGTGGCCAGTTGGCCCTGTCCTTCAATTTAGGGATATTCCGGACTGTTAACAGTAGCAGCAGCAGCAGTAGCAGCAGTAGCAGTAGCAGTCGTAGTAGTAGTAGTACTTAATAGTTATTCGTTTTATTATACACTGTTAGTTCCGTTGGAGATTCTTGCCCGAGGTCCACGGGCCACGGAAGCCTACAACAAAGCTCTTTTGGAAGGAAAGGGTTACGCAAGAAGAGTGCCTGTTATGATAATTGGGCAGGCTCGGACAGGGAAGACCAGTCTAAAGAGGTCTTTGAAAGGGGAAATGTTCAATCCAAATGAGGGAAGCACGGAAGGGATAGAGACAGATCCGTCCTATTTTAAAGTCTCAACAGACGTTTGGAGGACAGGAAAGAATGGCAAAGATACCGAATCAGAGCCAACGTTTTCGTTTGAACACCAGGCAGCCCAGCGGGTAGCTGAAAGCTTAAAGGAAAGAAAGACAGGAAGCTATAATACTGAGGAACGTTCACGGACTTCTAGCAGTAGCGGGACCTTACCACCCAAAATTATCAAGAAAGCGAAAGATCTTTCTGATGAACTTAGTATTATTATGACCGAGCAGTCGCCTCAAGACTCCAAACTAGTCGAAAAAGCCAAAACCGATTCACAGGAACCTGGCGCTGAAGGGATGACCCCATCACGTCAAGTCTCCCATGATCATCTGCGTGTGCTAAAGCTACCAGAGGATATAGCGGCATTGGTTCAGAGGTTGCTTGAAAAGAATGGCAACGACAAAGACGATATATATTCCATCATTTGGGATTTTGGAGGGCAGTCTGTTTACTATGACACACATCCAATTTTTCTGACACGAAGGGCCATCTACATTTTGGCTTGTAACTTAAGTTGTGATCCATGCCAGAAAGCTGTTCCTCCTACAAAAAAAGGCATGGGTGAGAATATGGAGGACGTCTGTTGCAGCAAAACGAATCTCGATTATCTTGATTTTTGGATGTCATCAGTTTACTCTTTGGTACGTCCAGATTGGGTCAGTAAGGAATTGCCTGTGGTGTTCCTGGCTTGTACACATGCTGACAAGCAAAGCCAGAGTGCGAACCCTAGTAAAATCTATGACTCCCTAAAAGACAAGGTTTATAAAGAACTTCTTAAAGGCCTGTTTGTTGTAGACAACACAAAGTCAGGAAGTGATGATGAGTGCCGAGGCGTAAAAAAGCTAAGGGAAAAAGTACTTTCTGTTGCCAAAAAGCTTCCACAAATGCAAGAAGACATTCCTCTAAAGTGGTTAAAGTTTGAAAAGGTTCTGTATCTCTTGAGCCAGGATGGCTATAAATGGATACCCATCGAGAAAGCAAGACAGATTGCTACGGAAGAATGTGGAATTTCTGACGATGAGGAAACAATTCGAACACTACTTAACTTCTTGCACGATCAGAGAGTTTTGATCCATTTTAGTGATTCACCAGAATTAAAGAGCATGGTCATTTTGAGCCCGCAGTGGCTCATTGACGTGTTCAAGGAGGTAATCACGGTCAAAAGTTGGGAGGACGTGGAAGACTTTGGGGATCTATGGCGTAGTTTTCAGGAGACTGGAATCTTGGATGAAAACGTTTTAGATGATGCATGGAGGTCTTTGATTGATACAGATGATAACCGAGAAACCTGCAAAAGCACCCTCATTTCAATAATGGAGAGATTTAATCTTCTTTTTTCATGGCCATCATCGGATGGGACTACGAAGCAGTACCTTGTACCATCCATGTTAATGTCTCCTCCTACAGAGAAAGTCCTTCAGCACCTTGATTGTGTACGAACCCCTTCACTTTTTGTGGCGTTTGGATCACGAAGAGTGCCTCCAGGCTTTTTCTCGCGGCTTCTCCTGCTGTTTTATCGGTTGTGTCAAGAAGAATGGAAGAGAGATATAAATCCTCAATTGTTCAAAGATTTTGCTATGTTTCACATTCTTCCTGAACGTGCAATTTCCTTAGTATTTATGTTGCATTCTTCATCCATCGAAATAGTTTTTCACGATGGAAAGGATGCTGGTGATCTGAATACAAGCCGAACCATTTATTCGCAACTGAAATGTCTTCTTGAACGTATTTGCAAGGAGTTCTTCTGGTTAAAACACGTGAAGTACAGAATGTGCGTTTGCTGTCCTGTATGTTCTCAAGACGACTTTACGTGCGGTGCTCATGGCATGCGTGGTTGCGAGTGCTTGCACTTTTTATCGGAGTCAGAGTTGCGTGAGCGGCCATACTGCAACAAACCTGGCGTTTGTGGAGATCCTACAATTACCATCTCGATGTTCGAACATTGGTTTGCTTTGTCGGACTCACCTCAGCAAAGCGGGATTCCACTCACTCAGGTTAGTTCTTAAACTCGCTTTTCCAAAACACGATCGTGAGCGGTTCATTCCCCAATCAAGGAACTTTAATTACAAGCTTTGGTCGTGATGGTTTCTGGGATAGCATGGGTGGATACTGAAGCATTAGCGTAATTAGTTGACCATTCATAATTAACAGTTCCGGCCAAATGATCCCAGAAATCCTTGTGACGAAAGCATCAACCCCTTAGTTTCTTGAGTGGCGAATTTATCTTTTTAGACTGTTTCCAACAAGTGCCTATAGCCTTTTTGCCAGAAATTGAAGGCGATGAAAAACAGTACCACACACATTGGCTGTGGTTACACGAGGCAACTCCAGCAGAAAAAGATAAGGTTTAATTTACCGAGGTAAAGCGGTATTTTCCCGTTTAAAAGATTTTCATTTACCCAGTCGGGAATATTTGCCCAGGAAAATGTCATAGCAGAGTAACTGAGAACGATACCATTCAGTGAGAAGTCGAGTTGTGGAGACTTCACCTGCCCTGCGCAATCGAAAGGCTAAATTGTCACCATGATGTAATTTGCATACGGCGTTGCTGTGAGTATGAAATTTGAACGGAATACTCGGAAATGCGGAGGTTTATTGCATTTATATTTATGTGTATCAAGAACTCTGTTTTTGTTGTTGTTGTTGTTAATACGAGTTTATTCGTGATATTAAAGGAAACCTGAACCTGACGTTTTTCCAGTCGTTTAAGTTGGAAAGCACAAACATCTCTCGATCGTCCGATAGATGTTTTCTTCCTCAAAACTTTGCTTTAAAATTTACAACTCTAGTCCACGGGTTACGCAAAGGGTACGTGAAACCTCAACTTCCCCGGTGAAATTCAACCACAACTGTTTACCCTAATCGTGTTTACGGCCTTGGGTGGCGTAACGTCGGGTATTATGCCCTTTCTTCAAACAATAGTCAAGTACTCTATAAATTCTCTACTGAATTTAGAGTAATTCACGAGCGATAAACTTCGAGAATTTCTTTCTGTCTTTTCAATATGATTCACCACATTCGTCTGTTTCAACTTCCAACTTTTGCTGCGAAATACGAACGTGATGAACCAAACATTAAAGCAATGACAAAACTTGGTCTTTTCTCAATTAAGCAATAATCATGATCAAGTATTATTTATTTTCTCCAGTTCAATATAAACCATTCACGATAAAAACCTTTTTCTAGAGCGTATCTAAACTTTACAACCGCGAAACCAGTTATTATCAGGTATTCAGTTCTTACGCAAACCCTGGAGTGATCATTAGGCGTGCTTGTTTTTCCAGTACTGCTTTCGACTCTCGCTGGCCATGAAGCCCTTTGGTCGTCATTGTTCGTGGTCTACATTTTTTTGAAGTGACTACGTTTTCTTCGAACCGAGTGTCAAGGGAGGCTTGCCGTAAATGGGTTGATGAAAGCCGTATGAATTTTTTTCATTTTTTCAAATTATGTTCTTCACAGGAACGAAGTGCTATTGAAGGTGACAACACTGGAAAACGCTGCTTATGTTGTAGTGAAGGTAAATAACCGATTTTCGTTGTTATGTCTACAACCGTAATCCCTCGGAATTTCAATTACCATCAGTGATTACTACCGTTTCGTCCCCTCAAGGAGTTCAAGGCTTGAGTCAAAGGGTGTTTGGAGCATAATAAGTGATTGGCAATCTCTCTTGTTAGGAGACCTAAAACAAAATGAATTTTTCCCCAAAAGTCAATCTTAAGGTTTTCTTGTGCGTGAACGTTTAATTCTGGTCGCGAGACATGACACGTCACCAAATATTTAAAATGAAGGAAATTGGCGAATTAGTGGCGAATTTACTTTGTTTGGATAAACAAATTGACATTTCTGAAAGAGGATAAACATACCTAACTTTCTACGTTTGGAATGAGTGTACGCGAAGTTTAAAATTAATGTTTTATTTATTTAAGATTAAATTTGGACATTTAAAATGATATTTTCCCTCATGGGTTTTTATTGAAATGCAATAGACGGTCTCTCCAAACGTGAAGTGTTAAAAATATTTAATATGAATAAGAAAAACGTTTTTGCTCGATTTCTTTTCTTAAACCGGCCACCAATTGGTCAATAATTAACAATTTTTCGCAAAATGGTCACGTGACATACACGTAACTGATTAACACAATATTTATACTTTAAAATGTTAGGGCAATGAGTTTTTTATCTGTCCTAAATTTTGATTCAGTGCCATCAACTATGCCGAAGTTAAAGCCAATAAATCATTTTCCACAGGTAAACCCCTTACTCCCAGTCCTAGCCTGCATAAAAGGCGCTTTATGAGCCAAGCGAGGCAAACGCGGCGTTTTGCGCGAAGCGCGAAACGAGTGCAAAGCGCGAGACGAGGGGCGGAGAAAAATAAAGCGCCTATTACCAGTCCATTGTTCTGGCTCTTCCGCCCACCTACGCCCACTGACTGACGGCGGTGATGTCAAAAGGACCAATCAAAACACGATCCATTACTAAAAAATTGTCACCCTTCTGGCTACCAGAAACACCGACAACAGCATAAAACACAGGAAATAACTGCGAGGGGGAAATCACCTTCAATAATGTAAGACTCAGTGCGGCAAAAGTAAGATTTGTTCATTCATAGTTTAGTTATGTCCAACCCAGCGGCGAGAAAGAAAAGAGGGAAAACGTGTTGTTTAAACAAATTCCAACGTCACGAGCTTATGAGTCGTGTTTGGCCTGTCAACACTTAATTTAAAAAAGTTAGTAAATCAGGCTTTTTCCTAACCTAGTTGGAAGCAATCCAAGAACATCTTTCCTCTTAAGCAATAAATTTAAACATTTCTTTTGTTTTTCTTTTATTTCTGGAACATTTGGAATTAAACGAGTTGAAAGGCTTCTCGAACAGCATTGTCAAAAGAACATGAATGCGTGACAGTTATTTTTGTTCCAGAAAACATGCCAGAACAACGCGTTATCAGTGGACCAATTGGAACGCAACGTTCATGTAGTGAACGTGGGAAGAGCCAGAACAATGTACTGGTAACAGGCGCTTTATTTTTCTCCTCCCCTCGTCTCGCGCTTCGCGCAAAACGCCGCGTTCGCCTCGTTTAGCTCATAAAGCGCCTGTTATGCAGGCTATCCCAGGCCTTAAACTACTTGAGCCCATCTTTAAAGTAACCTCATTGGGATCTTGTTGAGATTAAGGTAATGGAATTCTTCCTTGCCTACATCATAGGCAATTTAACCATCTGTGCAGTATACAAAAAACACGCTTTCAGATTTCCAAAACGTGTTGGGGATGCGCTTTGATTGTGGGTTTAACGTTGACAACAAAAACCAAGCCCGATTTTAACCCTTAAAGAGGGCCTACATATGACAATTTTGTAACATCCTAACTCGTGCTACTGTGACCCCAACAAATATCTCATGGCTACATCCTTTTTTAACGTTTCCCATTTTTTGCCTCGCTGGACAGGGACGGGAAGGGGAGTATAGGGCATTTTGCAATGTGCCTTTTACCTTTTTGTATTTATTTATAAAGTCAATTCATATTGCAATGTTACTCCTTACTTGTTAATCAGGCTGGCGATTTTCATACTTTTTTTTCATAGAGACTGCATCTAAAGATTCGGCCACTGATCCACCTGAAGTCATTGCTCTTCAGATAAGGAAGAAAGATCTTCCTGCAAAGTCAAAACTTTTTGATGATTGCCAAATGCAAGTCGATATTTTGTTACTGACGGCGATGAAGGAAGATACTTGCGAGGATTGTGAATTTCTAAGCTGTCTTGCACGTCTGAATCCTTATTTCTGTAAGAGTTACCACCCAGACCTTGGCTACGTGTACCTCGGAGATATGGGAGAAGATGATTTGAACCTAAACGTTGCTGTTATTAAGTGCTACGAGGGTTCCAGCTCTACGAGAGGTTCTCTAGTTGTTGTAATAAACGCTGTCAAAGTCTTGAAGCCGAAAGCAGTGTTTTGTGTGGGTTCTTGCAGTGGCCTAAATGTCACCAGAGTTAATCTTGGAGACGTAGTAGTTTTGAAGAAGTTAGTAACATACGCTTTTTCCAAAGTTACGGAAAATGGCATTGAGGAACTCGGAGTCAAAGTTCCATTAAAGCCTCATCTTTCAAAATTGATTCTAAGTGCTGGTGATGGCTGGAAGCCACCTTTGAAAGATCCAAGAGCACTCGAGGTAAAGATACATCGCGGCACCTTTCTGAGTGGACCGGAAGTTATAAATAACCACAAGCGGTGTAACGCACTCATCGAACGATTTCCAGAAGCAGTTGCTATAGAACGAGAAGGTGAAGGTAAGTTTCTTGGCCTGCAGGTCATGTGTTACCAGTGTGCATGAATTCAATTTATGAAGTAAGAAATGGTTTTCTATTGTAAGAGAACATTCTTTTAGGGCCGACTTCTGTGAATCAGATTCAAATAGGGATCCACAAGAATCTAAACTGTCGTTTTCATTACACACTTATCGCCATATTAAACCCGGGTTTTGTTTGAGTTTGCAGTTTTTTGAGCGCCTGTTGGCTTTAAGAAAGAGTTTCTTATTCCTCTTCTTGTCACCTGACTATCTTGCCCTATATCTTAGGTTATTGTATACCACACAAAAAAGGTCTGTGGGTCTCGGTACACGATATTTTATTGTATGACCTCATTGCCCTCGCATATTGATGCTTTAAAATCAAGTGATAATTAAGTCTTGTTGACTGTCTCTATTCTTGACCTGGTTTTTTCCACCGGCGTCTGCATTTGTCAACTGTTAACTCCACGTCTCTCCATTTCTCACAAATCTCCTTTTCAGGTGTGTTTGCAGCAGCGCATGACCTGGATATTGAGTGGATAGTTATTAAAGGAATTTCAGGCTACGCTGATGGCAGAAAAGTTAAGGATTCTTGGAGAACGTTCGCAAGTCTTATGGCAGCTTCTCTAACGGCTCACATTCTCAGCGACACAATTGCTTTTCAAGCCTTGCCACACTATGGGAGTGCAAGTTAGTATTCTGGAAATTCAGGAAACTTTCATGTTGTATTTTCCTATGCCATCTCCAATTCTTTTCCTTCGGCTCAGTTGTGGTTTTGCTCTTCTCATAATCCAACTAATAAATCTTTTGAAAAGTTTGCTTCCAACCAATCTAAATTTTGCTTTGCAGTTCAAAGAGTAGTTTTGGGTAAACTGGATGACAAATGGCTCTGTATCAATTTAACTAGCTAATTCTCTGAAAGGGTGAAGTGATGTAGCAGCGTTTTTTGGTCTTGTTACAGTGTTACCTTACAACCTCCTCGTTTATATCACCGCGTTGTTGTTACGACCACATTAGAGACCTTAAGATCGAGGTTTGGCTAACTTTCCACAAACGGCAAACTACGGTTTGCGGTTAGCGGTTTCACGTTAACGGTTTGCCCATATTTGGGTGCCTAAAAACCTCGCTTTTAATGCCTCCATTATATGGCCGCAGACGTAGAAAGACTCAGTCGTCTTCTTTTCTGAAAACCAAGTTCCTATACGGCCAGTATTCCATGGTCCAATAATGGTCATATTAACGGGCTTCCATTGTGTTATGAAATCCGCACACCTACAACTGGACTGCGTCCTGACCCTGAATTTATCCTGAATTTTTTTTAATTTATCCATCTTGTCCATGTCCTGAACGTAGCCTTTGAAATACCAAAGGAAGTAAATAGGAAGTGACTTACTTTTTGCAATTACAGAACAGGTCTAGTTTAATATTCGCTATCTCGAAGATTTAAACGTCATTTATAATAAAAGGTGGGAAGATGACACTTTGTAATGAAACAAAAAATCAAATAATAATGTAACATGCTGTTTGTAATAATGGGCAAATTTGAAACTTGTCTGAAATGCTCTTACCCCGGTGTCTCCGCCTGACAAAAAGATTGACTTTGGAGATCTCAGATTTTATTATGTTTAGCCGAACTTTAGCAAACCTCGTTTTAGCCATTCGCACAAAACGAATGCAAGTGGTACACACAAAGAAAATATTTTGTTCCACTAACCCAGTTTATCCAAATTAGAAGCAGATGAAGCCCGTTATTTCCGATCGGCGATATCCTTTAAATAGTTAACCCCATTGATACATCCAAGCGTTATAATACAGTCGAACCTCCGCTAACGACCACCTCTCTACAACGGCCACTTTTTTTGTCCCGGCGGACAGCCCATACATTTACTCTCAGTTATTTGAACCTCTCTGCAACGGCAACGGCCACTAAAGCACATCCCCGACTGCCAAAGGGACTGATGAAAAAGTCAAGGATGGTCATGAAATTTGATCCGTGTTGCTTTTATACTGCTGCAGTAAGCATTAAGTGTCTACGATACTTAAAGCGAATTTTGCGAACCTTGCTCGTTTTTTCACGTTAACATTTTCATTTTTGTGCATTTTATCTAAACTTAGCACAATAAACATGTTGTACTCCCTAAAAAATTGTCATAATACACTCGTACCTCCCCATAACGGCCACCAGGTGGCCGTTTTTGGAGAGGTTGTACAGAGAGGCTGTACATATTACGGAAAACGCACTCAGATTAGAATGGGACGAGTTGGATTCGGGTATAGTTCAAGTTACTTATTTTTGCTGTGTTTTGGTACTTTGTAACCCATGCATAAGCAGTGCGTTTAGTTATTGATTGGATATTCCCCCTGAGCAGTCCATCGGAGCCATGGTGTTGGTACCACGTGTAGCTTGTGAGGATGCACGAGTTTCGAAACATACAACTTATACAGAAGGAAGCCGGCTCTTAATGAGACTTACAGTGAATTCTTTCGTCCAAAGACGGCTCTTGTAGCTTAAATTGATAGGTGTTTGAGAATAAACCCTGGAGTCAATTTATAGTTGTTTTCTCTTTAGGCAGGCTTTTGAGATGCCTTGCAAAATAGAATACCCAAAGGTCCTGAAGAAGCCTTGAAAACCGCAACTGTGCGGAATGAGGAGTCATGCGAAACTAAATGGCTGTCGAAGTAATTTGTTTTTGTTTGTCCTCAATAGGTAGAAGAAAAATCAAGCAGCACAAATCGGGCAGGAAGACCTGTAACCAAGTAAGAAAGATAGAGAGTAATGCCTACTTAGCTCAAGGTGAGGATTAAGAGCAGTGAATGTTTTTTTTTTTATTATTTTGCAGGATATTCAAGCATAAATTTCGAATTTTTTTTCGAAAACGTTTGTGAATTTCAGGTGTTCCGTTTCTCCATATTGCCAATGTGGTGCTAGCCTGCGAGAAGGCTCAGTTGCGCGAATAGGACAATTGTACGATGACGATATTTGACTACAACTACCAGAATTCATTTCGGTTTTGCTTTGTTATTTAAATTTGCCAATCCCGCTGAGGATTAAAGAACAATAGCCTTAATTTGCACAAGAAAACAACAAACTCAAGGATTCTGGTAGTTGTAGTAAACTGACGTCATCGTGCAATTGTCCTATTCGGGGGAAATTTTGGCCGCCATCCAGTGAGGAATGTGGTACCTTTCGGAAAAACCCAGGTCATGAAGAAAAACTGTAAGAAGCTGCTGTAACGGATTGTTGATAGATATGCGACTGACAGGACAATGTCAGATTATAGTTTCTATGAAGTTTATTATCCCTCCTGGTTGGGTTTTAATTTGTCGTAGCTTTCGGATGACAGAGTTAATAAAAGAGAGGCATAACATTAATATTTTTTAAAGTATGTTGTTTTAAAATTGAATGGAGATTGATTTAGAAAGATATTCAAAGTGAATATTGTGGCTAATTTTCATTTACAGGTGGGGTCATTCACTGTGCCCTTCGACAAATAGCCAAGATGGCGGAAGGAAATATACATGGCGACAATAGTGAGCCTTCGCTGGATTTGAAAAACGTTGCTTCCGAAAGAGGCTTTGTAATTTCTGACAATCAGGGAGGAGGAAATTGCATGTTTTTTGCAATTTCAGAACAGCTGGAACTCATACAAGAAGTGAAACTCTCTCATAAAAAACTAAGGAAGAAAGTTGTCCGTTACCTGAAGGAGAATCCTACACTGGTTAGTGGTTTCCTAGCGCCGGATAATTCCTTATCTGCGATCAGGCGTTTTTTTTATTGTGATTAATATTATCATTTTTTGAGAAGAGAGGGAAAAAAAGAGCTGATACATTTTTTTTCACAAGTCGCCAACTGCCCCCTACCCGCCCGTCGCTTTAAATACGCTAGCATGACCTGGTCGACCTTTTATCAGGGCGAGAAAAACGTCTGCTACCAAATGTTTTTGTACTCGGGGAAGTAAAATCAACAGAAAGACTTAATGGAGATATAGGGCTTGAGGGCATGATCGCAGGCTAAATGCTTTGCTGTTGATTCTGTCAGCTAGATAAGTTTGCTCGGCTAAAATTTAATGTTAACCATACAGCGTGCTTTTAAATGCTTTTACAAGCAAGTTATCAAATTCAAAATGGTGCTATGTATTAGCAATCCTTATTGAGCTTCCCAGAGATAATGAAGCAAATAACTGAAATGGAACATAAAAAGGTTAAGAATCCCAACTGGTAGGAGGCGAACCAGTTGACTATTTTACAAGCGTGGCCGAGGATTTCTATTCTGGACTACCGAGATATGATTCAGCTGGCGGTCAGGGCAGGACTTGAACCGAGGGCATCCAGATTACAAGTCCAGTGCTCTAACCGCTCGGCCACGCTGTTTTCTGTTATCAGTGAAATTCAGTGAGTTTTAATGACTTGCTTTTGATAGTAATGTTCCCTTACATATCGAGGGTTGTTCACTGGGGCGGAGTCTTGATACGGCACCTAGCTCTGTTTGCTGACACAATTATGACAAATCCTTTGTGAAATAGACCTTTTCACGGCTTATGACGTCATCTTGGCTGGGGGACAAACACGGCTAAAATTACAGTGAATGTATGGAATTTTGGCCCACTTGGAACCGCTATAACGCCGCTACAAAGAGGTATATTTCCCCAGCGAAAATTGTATT